AAGATCCCATCCCAAGAAATACAAAGAACCTCTGGCACCCAATAAATGCACAACAAGCAAGCGCATTTATTAAGGGGACTAAACTGGAATAGTGTTGATAAATGACAAAAAAAAAAAAAATCAAGTTCCTTAAAAAGGATATCCCATCAGGCTAACAGCAGACCTCTCACTGGAAACAATGCGAGTGAGGAAAGAATGAGAAAATATATTCAAAGTGTTAAGGGAAAAGTAATTTCAACCAAGAATACTGTACTGGCAAGATTTTCCTTCATATGGAAAGAAAAGACAAGAATATTTTCATATAAACAAAACCTGAAAGAATTTACCAACACCAGACTCGATCTCCAAGAAGTTCTAAAGAGAGTGTTACATCACGAAAATTAAATGAGAGTTCAAAAACTAAGAAAATAGCCAACTTAATTGTAGAGACAAGTCTGGAGTTGGATATTATATCCTAGAATTTAACAGGGAAGATCGAACCATAACAGAACATAGATTAAATACATAAGACTGAATTGGTGAAATAAGATTTTATGACTTTTTTTTTTTGAGAGGTTTTTGCTATAGGGTGTGTGTGCTCTCCAGAAAGACAGAGAGAGACAGAGAGATAGAAAGTGAGAAATCACCCCCCCCAGGGGAGATGGCCACACCACAATCCTTTCTCCTCCATTTTCCTCTCACGATCTTGGGCACATATGCACACTTGCCTGGCGTGAGTTTAAGCCACCAGGTCCAGGACTCAAACTGCGATCGACTACATGGGAGTTCAACGACATATCCATTATGCTAACTGTTGGTCCCCAGGATTTTATGAATTTTGACTAAAACATTCTGATTTTTTCTAGTCTTTATTTTCTGATTTTAAGGATTTTTGTCCTGTCTTGAGCTGATAATAGGTTCATATACCTATTATTTGAACAGAATCCTAACCTGTTTCATGGTTTTAAGTTTTAGGCAAATGTCCTTAGCATTTCTTTGATTTGTTAAAGTTAAAACTGCTTTTCTTGAAATTAAAAAATATATTAAAATATACCAATTTAATGACCATAGTAAGCTATGTGGCATCAGCTAGGTGCTATCTTATAGCATATTCGTTCTACTCAGAGTTTCACACCTTAAGTCAGACATGTATTCACAGATATGTACATACCAAATGAACTTGCTATTGAAAGTGATTAGATTGTTTAAGAAATTTTGTGAATCAATAAAATGTGGGGGAAAAAGGAATAGAAAACAACTGTAGACTGGGTGTGGTGGTGCCCGCCCTATGGAAAACAACTGTAGACACCTGAGATAGTGTGGGAGGAGGGTGAGAAATGGCAGAGGGTGAGAAATAGGGGTAAATGTGTGTGTGTGTGTGTGTGTATGTGTGTATATATGAAACTAAAAATGAAAAATTATTGATAAATTATTGATGATAATGTGTATGACTAAGCCACAATGCAGTATATTCTGGATGGAAATCACATTTTCAGGCTGGGATGATGCACAGGAAATTAATGCAAATTAATTAATTAAAAACAAAGTTTCAGAAGAAAATTTCAGTGTACTTTTAACTAGATTCTAGCTTTGTTCACATTTTTAGTTTAAAGTATTTTGTGAATCAGTAAAATTTGGAAAAAATTAATGAAAAGAATGTTAATAAAAGAAAATATTTGGTAACTGTCTATATAATTATGATGAAATGCAGTTCAAGAACCCCAAAGAAGGATTTCTAACTTTATATTATCTTTTTATTTTATACATTTAATTTATACATCACTGATTTATTTTATACATTTAATCACTATACATCACTGAGCTTCTATGCTGAATTTACCCAACATGAATACACCTCACACCAGTCCAGTGAGGATACCAAACACATTATCATCAACAGATAATAGCCCACTTTTGTGTCTCATAAATGTCCTGCCTTCCTATTTTCCTCCTTAATTTCCTTCCATACACTCTCCCCCTTCTCCCACCTTCCTCCCATATTGTTTCCAGAATCTATAACCATTTTCAATGCTTCTATGTCCTCTAATCTCTCAGTTTCCACCATAGGGTACGAACAGTCAGTATACATTATGTGGAGACATACAGTGTCTTTCTTTCATAGCGTGGCTTGCTTCACTCAGTAGTAAATCTTCCACATTCGATCACTTTCTATTGAATGCCAGGGTCTTGTTTTTTATGACTGAGTAGTATTCCATAGAGTATATGTGCTGCACTTTTGCAATCCATTCATCTGTTCGTGGGCATTTGGGTTGATTCCATGCCTTATAATTGTGAACAATGCTGCGAAAAACATAGATGTGCATGTGCTTATCTGACCATTCTTCTGTCCTTTGAGTAGATACCCAGGAGTGGAATTGTTGGATCATATGGTAGTTCTATTTGTAGGTCTTTGGGAAATCTCCATATTATTTTCCACAGTGGCTGGGCCCACTTTTATCCCCACCAGCAGTGTAAGAGAGTTCCCCTTTCATCACATTACCACCAGCACTTATCATTTATTGTTTTTCTTTAATCTTCACCATTGACAGTGGTTAAGTGGTATCTCATTGTGGTTTTGATCTGCATCTCTCTTATGACGAAGGATGTTGAGCATTTTTTCATGTGCTTTTTGGCTATGTCTTCCTTAGAGTTGTTTATTCAGCTCCTTTTC